GCAAACACAGGATCCGGGTCATCAGACCCAGGAGTTGAACTCTGACGCTCAAAATCCAGGCCATCAGACCCAGAGCCCTGGACAACAGACGTCGAATCCGGAACAACAGTCGCAAAACCTTGGTCACTCGACCCAGAACCCGTCCCACCAGAACTCTGCTCAACAAACTCAGAAGACAGAACAACAAAGTCAGAACCCGGGTCACCAGACTTCGAATCCCGGCCATCAAGGCCAAAACCCAGGCCATCAGACTCAGAACCCAGGCCACCAGAGTCAAAATCCAGGCCATCAGACTCAGAATCCAGGCCACCAGAGTCAAAATCCAGGCCATCAGACTCAGAATCCAGGCCACCAGAGTCAAAACCCAGGCCACCACAGTCAGAATCCAGGACATCAATCGACAAATCCTGGTCAGCAGACGCAAAATCCTGGCCACCCGACTCAAAACGTAAGTCGACAGAGTCAGAATCCTACACATCAAGCGACACAGACGCAACAACAGCCGCAGGTACCATCTCAGCAGCAGCAGCAGCAACAACAACAACAACAACAACAACAACAATCACAACAAGAGAACCGACCCAGCAGCATGGGTACGGTGTTGTCGTTCAGTCCGCGTGACAGACGCGGTTCCGTGTATCCGCCAGCGGGACATCAACATCCCACTGACTTCACGTTGAACAATTTCAATTACGAGCAGTTGAACAATGCGAAGAATCGGGAGAACAAGAGCGGCGTCGCTACGGTGGCGCCGGCGCCGCCCACGAATCATCCGCCTACGAACAATAACTCGTTGCAAAACAACAACATCAATCTGAACAACAACGACAACGCGAGAATCATTTCAGAGAAGAACGCGCTCGAGAAGAACCTGAAGAAACACTCGTTATTTATAAACGCGCTCTCGTGGAAGCGGTTCAGCACGTCGAACAACAACAAGAAGAAGCTCGACAATAAGAACAAGAATATCGGCTTCAGGCAGCCGCTCGATAACATACCCATCGTCGATAAGAACAAGAATATACAGACGCCTCAGGTGAGCCACGACATTCGTCTTTTAGTTTCTTCTAATTTCGAGAATTTGAGATTCTTCTCAATAATTCTGATTATTTGATTATCGTTGTTAAAGTCACGAGAAGTAAGAAAAGATATCGATATTACATTTCGAATTACAATTTCACAAATGTCAGAAGATCTACAATTATTCCGTATAATTTGCGACACGATCGTTCACGTGACGATCGCTGCAATGGTGGCCCATTTTCGTGAAAGCGTCAGCGAACAAGCCTCGAATCGGTTCGGAAGTTTCGTGCAAAGAATGCTGTAGGTGCTTTGACCTCAGATACGATCGAAAGCATATCGATCGCGTCGGTGTTTCCCTTCGTGTATTTCACGCGCGTGTACTTCCATTTCTCTTATTTCCTTTGACGAAAAATTCTTCCAAGAAGAGCGTCAATTATTCGTAAGTTCAGTACACGTTAATATATAAACTCGTCAGAAATTCCACTTGAAAATGGAAGCCGAGATTCCCCAGTCGATGAAGAATTATTTATCGTTCGCTAGACACGCCGCGAAATCTTTTGCTTTCTTTCTTTCTTTCTCTCTTCCCTTTATGAAAGATAAATCCTCTCCCGCGAGTACATTCTTACGGAGATTAAACCTCTATTATGTCGGAGCAGACGAAACCACCGGCGTCGAACAACAATCACACCACGCACAACCCGACGTGCGAGAAGTTCGTACAGAAGCCCTTACCCCTGAAGCCAAGGAAAACCGTGATCCAGGCCTCGACTTCGGAATTGCTCAAATGCCTCGGCGTCTTCCTACACAGGAAATGCACCCGTTTAAGAGACTTCCAGGCTGGCGACGCTGTCATGTGGCTGAGGACCGTCGACAGAAGCCTACTGCTTCAAGGCTGGCAGGTGAGTCCAATTCAATTCAACTTTAATTCAGCTTCTTTAATAATTTCATTTCACTAGAAAATAATAAATTTAAACAAATAGAGGTTAAGTGATCAAAATGACAAGTTTATAATTTTTCTCGCAATTAAAAATTTTATGGATGTATATTGAATTAAATTTAAAGAGATTTAAATGATTTTTCATAAAATTTAAAATGTTGTATTATGAAGTTTTTCTATTTTTTTTTTTTTTTTTTTTTT